ATAACTTGCCATGATGATCGTTCCACGCGTATAGTAACACAGTTGTCAAGCAAATTGAAAACCAGTTTCTATACAGTACTATTATGCGATGCCCTTACTCTCCTTGCGGTACTCCACCGAATCTAAGGGTACAAAAACGCCGAACAGTGTCGCCTGCAGGGATAGTAGGCGACGCATTAATAACTGACTATCACGTGGTATGTTAAAAAATATATAGTTTTTTTACTCCACATATTCTACAAAATGAGGGGAATATCTGGGTCAAGTAATTCGGTGATGTGACACACTTTATTTTTATCATTTTTTAAATCCTAATATGGGATTTCGAAATGGTAGTTTTCATCACAAAAGCGCCATCGTCACCGGGGATAGTTTTCGGCCCGAGGGGAGCCCTTGCTTTGGAGGGAGGCACTGTTTTTTTCTAACGAGGGCGTGGTAAACGTCCAAATGTCACGAAAAACGCCTCGAGGTAGGAAAAATAAAATATTCCACTTTATTTAGTACTTTATCATAACTTTGTTTAAAAAGGTCGAGTCGTATAGAGTTGCTTAAACAAAGAAATTAAAACCCGTGACATAGGTATTATTTCTCATTTCAAACGTCCCAAACAGTGTACATCATCAAGAATTATGAGCATGCGAATTTGCGGAAGAATGAAAATATTGCAAATGCTCATGTCAAGAGTGTTATATTTCTTTTGGAAAAACATTTTTATGACATTCTGGGACTAGTGTAACAATAGGAAAATTAAAAGAGCTCTTTTGCAAATTAATTATTTATAGACTTTTTCAATATTTTGCACTTAGATTCTTTTTGAAAGGTCATAGAGTATCACTGAAAAAAAAATAAAGTTAACAAATAATAGTTTTGTTCAAAGTACATTATTTTGGTGGATTAAGTGCATTGATTATTATAAGTGGACAATTTTAAAAGCTCTTAGTTTAAAAGTTAGAGTAATATAATTAATACTTTTGATTTCCATTTTTCTGAAATTAACATGCTTATAAAGTTTGATGCTGACAATTTTTTGGAACGTTTCAAAATGAGAAAAAAAAGCTTCATAATACACTTAGATACGTTTATTCCATGTTTGAACACTTTTTAGAAAAAATGGTAATGTTAAAAGTGTAAAAAAAAAAAAAAATTCAATGCCATAGCAAAATAAAATTCCGTGCATAATAGTAAAAAAAAAATTTTGATAATAGTTCGTCAAAAAGAGCTTTTAATTTTCTTATTGTTACCAAGGCCCAGAATGTCTTACAAATGTTTTTAAAATAGAAAACTGAGGCTCTTGACGTAAGAATTAATTTCCATTGTAGAAAGTAGAAAGCTATGGTCAACATTGTAAGTTTTAGTTAAAACTCGAGTTAGAATCAGCTCGAAAATATGAAAATTTTACATAATTCGCGATATTTTTACTTCCTTTCCGAATTGAGCATAACTTTTGATAATGAACACTGTTTGGGGCCTTTCAATCAACAAAAAATTAAAGCTTTTATCGATCAATTTATTTTCCTTTTTTAGAAAACTCTATAAAAACTTTTGAAGCAAAGTCATGACAAAAATAGTTAGTTTTTTAAAATTCGTCGTTCAGATTTATTATTTATTTATTTTTCTCTATTTTCATCGATTTCGTCATATACATCTAAAGAAATTACATGCGACGTTGTGTAGGTTTACGTAGAAAAATAGGGCGTGGGCTGAGTAGCGCGCGGGCGTCACGTTTGGCTACGAGAAAATCATCGATAAAAGAGTGCGCCTATGTACAGTTCTCGCAATTGGCTGCGGAGTTTCTTAACCCATCGTCTCGGCTATAGCCATTTGTAAGATTGCGCGTATGCGTGTGTGTGTGTGTTTTTCCAAACGATTCAATAGTACGGGGAATTTGCTTATAATGTACTAGGCGCTCGATGGGCGATGCTTTTCTCTTTTTTGGCTGCCGTTAGGGAGAGCGCGCTTTTGCTGGCTGTACAGTTTGCACGGAAACGCGGATGGTTTCCCGTTGACAATGGAAATTTCAGAGGCGATATTCGATTGCCCGATACGGAGTAATTGATGGTTTCCACTGCATAATTACTCTTTGTATGGGGTTATTATTTTGTGGGATCGAAGGGGTGATTGTGAAATTAAAAAAAAAAAATTTTAAAAAAAGCCAACTTATAAATATTTCGCATTTCAAGTATTGGCTCCCGAAAACATGAGATTTCACTTTCTCGCTTACTCATTGAGTGGATGCACGGGGGAGCGCTCTGGGAAAAGAAGAAGAAGAAGAAGAAACAGTTCGGACGTGCTTAACATTTTAAACAGCCGCGCGCCACCATTTGCATTTATAGATAGTCACGAGCGGATTCGATATGAGCGTGGCCACCACTGCGAACTTTCAATCGAATGGCATGTTATATCGATGCCTCGTACGAAAAAAAGGGGCGCTGGGATGAAGACCAACATAACTTGATGGTTTAATATTATGTATGACGTTATTATGAACGTTTCCGTATTGGAAAAAAGAAAATAAAATACATATATGTCACAGTATCAGCAATCGCGATCATAAATGTCGTGATGATAAACTAATTAAGTAGTCATTACAATGTTTACTTTAAAACGTCATTAAAAGCACATTTAACATTTCAAGTAATTTATATTAGCTATGAATTATGCTGTGCTAGTCTTTTTGGGTCAGAGTACGTGCATGTAACTATAAATATATACAGTGCAGATTAGCACAACCAATAGTCAAATCTCGCATAAAATGTATCAACGTCACGTGGTTGTACTTACAGCTCGTGCATCGTAACTCCGAACAATCAATTTCCACCAATTTCAGATTAGCGCGCCAACATGCCGTAATTTAAACCATCACTTATATTATACATATATGTATACATGAGAGTTTCAGCACGGCGCAATTGTCGCCGGCAATAATCTTATCTCCACTAGCCCAGGAGCAGTGTTCACGCGCGTATGATTGTGCACGTGTAAGCCAGGAGACGTGATATAAACACACGGGTTGTAGGGAGGTAAGTATATAGAGAGAGCCGTACTTGCGCGTTTACAGCTGCAATAGGCGTCTCCGATGCGATAAGGCCTTGCAATCCGAAAAGTCGCGCGGTCGTTTCTCCTCCTCCGGCTGTAATTTTCACGAATCTCCGATTACACGTGGATTCATGCAGCGCATATGCGCCCTTTGCTATATATACCTGGCTATACATGCATATATGTGTATTATACATGCACGTGGGCGAGTATAATAGAGACCAGAAATTACCGTCTTGCGTAATCGATGATCGACCCGGTCCGTTTCTCTATCCATCTGAGAGTGTGTACCATTAGCTGCAGGGGCGATTGTGTGTCCTGGAAATAAGTCGTGGAATGCACAAAGTATAGTGTAGTCCAAAAGCGGTTGATAGGTATTCAGTGCGGGCCAGCAGGGCATTTAATGGAAAAGTCTACGAAAAGCTAAACCTTTTTTTTTTCCTTATGGCTCTGGGTGGTTTTTATGGATTTTACTTCTTTCAGGTGGACGGGGGAGTGTGGAAATTATCGAGGCGCCGGACGATTCGTTGGGAGCTTGGGAAAGTTTTAATGCTGATTTTTTCCTTACTCGCGATCCAAAGGGTCTCTATGTTCTCGCGTTTGGTCGATCGGTCGTCGACCGTCCAATTGTCGGATGGTTGGCCATTTTACTTTTCTTAAAAGAGGCCAATATCAATATTTGCGTTTTTCTTGGTTGGTATCTCTGTATAACTTACAAACGGGGGGTTATTTCGATGGTGTACTGTTTGCCATTGAAGATACCAACATTTCTATACACTGCGTTCGTAGTAATTTATTAATAAAACAGATATTTATTGCGCACGACGAGGTGTACAACCTTTTTCCCAATTTGAGTCTTACTTGTCCGAGGTCACTGCATTTTAAAACATTGAGATTTCAGTGCTCCATTTATACGTATACTCGAAAAATAAAACCTCACATCGATTTTCAAAGCTTGAACCGGTTACGAGTACTGATCTACAAAATAGACTGCAGATCTTAACATTTTACAGCGATTATCACCATTTAGAACCGCAATTTTTACTACTAGATGACATTGTGTTTACCAGTTTCACTTGAATTTAGTTATATGTATTATTCATCGCATAAATTCCAGTATCCACATGTAATTTCGAATCAATGTACATTCTCAAGAAAAATTTATTTTTTGGCTTATTTCCACGGTCTGAGTACCTATTAATCGAAAATCGAACCACGCGATCCCTTGAAGGGTATTGTTTCCATAAATGTATATCGTATTTTGACCACCGATCCAATGACCGTTCATTATAAAAAACCAACATTCATACCGCCACACGATCACGTATCTATGCAGAGTAGCGGTTGTCACTAATCACCGTCGTATCGGTAAAAATGCCAAGCATTAAAATCTCGTTAAAAACAAACAGTCTTCTGATTTGATAAAACACCGTTGCTTGGATCAAATTTGAAATCAATAACCTTCGCGTGCGTGTGTAAGTGTGTGTAACTTTATCTATCGCCATTGAAGAAAACAAAGCGAAAACAACATGCAAATCCCTTTGTTGCAAGCGCAGCATTTCGTTCGAAAACTGTTCACTCGTGCCTTATTCATCATACCTCGCGCACGTATACTTACTGTCTGCATAAATGCACATTCACGATTCATCATCATCTTCCCCGATACGCGTATAGGCAGTGTAGCACAAAATCTAGACCAAAAAAAAACCCCATCGCACGATCCTCGGAGCAAGCGACTTTCTCGAATTTCCGAATCTCCATCAGTGGAAAAGCACTCTATCTCTGCAAACATGCACGCCGCAAATATCCCCGGCTCTCATAAAAGACATATCCATATGCGCGCATTATATACGTACATACATACACCCCACACGCTGGTGCAAAGCTTCGGCCTCGCATCGCATAACCGACCAAGACAAAACGTCGCAGATACACACACACACACCACCAGCAGCATTACTCACCCGCTACCATCTATATATACAATGATAAGGAGAGCGCGGGAGCGTGAGCTCATCCCGCGCCCAAAGTGGCACGTAACGCTCCTCTTTCATCCATCCTTCTTCTATCCGCGTCTTCCCCTGCACCTCTTCTTTTCTCGTTTGCCAATATTAGGTATCCTTACGTAAAAACTGCGGCCGTTAGATTAACATCGAGGCGATGCCCAAAAGATCTTCCGCGCCAAACTTTTTCCTCCCACCTTTTTTCCCTGGAAGGCGGTGTTTTATCAGGTTTTGAGCGCACTTGAGAAAGTTGGGAGTACTCTAACCTAGATTACAACAAAACTGCACATGGTAAAACCTATTCGTACGCGACTGCCGACTTGCAATGGGTGATTTGTACGAGCTCACTAAAGGCGAAATGACGCGCTCGCTGTGAACTGCACTGGATCGCGCAATACGCAAGCCCAATGAATCGAGCGCCTCCCACCCCGTGACGGAGGAACCTCCCATTCGGTGATAGCAGACGAGTGGCAGCGATCAAACGTGCGCTCGGGCCCGTCGTTTGTGCTATATTAGGAAATGCTGATGTAATTAAAAGCTCCTTCGGGCAGACAAGCCGTCGCCGCTACGGCTGGAAACTTTCCAAGTTTTGTTTGCACCTTCTGTGGATCTTCTCAAACAGTTTCGTAGCTTCCTGTGTATGTAGCAGTTTTACGAGCCAAATCGTTTTCTCCCCTCTTACGTGATCAAAAACTATATGACATTATCCACAAGCTCGCCGAGAAATGATTTTTTTTTTTTTTTTTCATTCATTCATAGGATGCGGCACTCGATTCGTAAGTCAGCGATTTATATTACCGACGAAGTATTTTTTTAGCTGGGACGGTATTTTTTCAAGCTGATGGCACAATACGCGAGTATAGAGGTACTATATTGTAACCTAATTTATCTGATGAAGTATTGAGCGAGAAAATGATTGTAAATTTGACAAGCTGTTGATCCAAAAATGGTACAAGATGATTTTAGTTTTTGGATCAACAACGATTCACATTGATATGAATTTATATTCATCAAAAATTGTACCTGATAGATTAGTTGAGTCTGAACCGAGTGTTTTTATTAAAAACACAATGATGCAATGATCAGCAGACATTTTACTTGTTAATTTAATTCATCATTCTAGTTCTATTTCCTTTATAGTACTAGTTAATTGCCATTTAGCTTGTATAAAAACTTTTTGTGTTTTTCTACCTCTGAAACATCGACATATTTTATGTCCTAGATTGAGCTGGGGCGTATCTACATTTGAATACTTGAAATAATTTTAAGATAATATTAAACAAGTGATGGTTATGATCAATGATTTAGTAATGACAACAATATAAATGTGAATTGTAGTAAGCCTATACTGTGCTTATCGATTTCGACATTAAAAAAAAAATTATTTACATATCGGTATTTGGAAACCGTGAAACTCCGCTCTAATCGGCATATGATAAAGTACGCACTTATCCAATCGCAGTTACGATAGTCTTTTTTACTAATTGCAATATTTTTTCGTTTCATATAAAATTGAGTACTATGGAATTAATTACAAATAATTGTTAGATTCTACTCAAGCTGTTATGAGTAACCTAAAACGCTGATTGCACACCTGTTTTCCAAACAAGTTCCGGTAAAGGCTGAAAATGAAATTCTACCTTCTCGTATGTAATAAAAAAATTAGCTCACTCCCACAATATTTAAGTAACATACTTTGTACTTGAAAAAACAAAAATATTATTACAGCGATCGACTCGTATTGAAGTGACAGTGGAATTTCCATTACTACACCCAACATCAGCCACTAAAGTATATATAGTGTTTTTTTTTACATGTGTAGCGCGAAACATGCGATTACTCAGAGACACGAGAGACGCATCTAAAGTGCAATTTCAGCACGATACGGTCTCACTCTTCTCATCGCGCTGTGTTTTTGCCGAACATACACACACATATATTTTGTATATATATATACACACACGTTGGTAAGTGCTCCGCTTCTCCCTGTCTGATATCACGCCTATACCTACACGTATATATTTATGGCGGTGGGAGACTCGTGAACAAGACGAGCTCTCGAGCGCAGGTATAAAATATAGCGCATGCATGGCCGTGTTTGGTGCTGATTTTACGATCTTACGCTGCGATCGGGGAATAAATCTGTTTTACCTTTTATGAGATGATCTTCCTTTGGAGATTCGGTGACGAGCAATTGGCTTATTTTTAGATCTGTACCACTGTATTGGTGCTCTGCGCTATTTGGTGTGATAAATCCGAGGATAAATCGATGCCTTGGTGGATAAGGGTGGTTGCTCGATTTTTCACGGATTATGGTAGTGGCTATCTCAATACTATACTTACGAAGAGTACAAAAATATTTCTCTATGCGAAGAATCTAAGCTCACTTTTACAAAATCCGAAACCTTACACCGTGTAGTAGTCGTAGAGTCGTACGTTGATGGGCGTATTACTTCAAAACATCACTGATAAGTCGCATTCCGCGAATGAGTCATTGGCATACTGCACACTGTAACAGTATAGGTATAGGTATGCTTTACTTTTTCACGCGCACACATTTTTTTTTTTTTTTTTTTCATTCCGTCCGTAACGTACTTTATGTTGAATTACTACTTGAGAATGAGCGAGGCTACATCGTATTGAATAAACCTTAGCTTGCACAATATTTACTTTGAAGGAGATCGTTGAATCTTTTGAGACAATTTTCAGTGGCAGTGTGTCTAGGGATCCTTTAGTATCATTGTTTTTATATTAATTTCTTATTTTTAGTGCTATTGATGCAGGAGTTTCACTAAAGTTTTTTTTTAATTTATCCAAAAAAATTTAATCCATCCATTTTTAATGCATTGATTCAGAGTTTTTTTGTTGTTGTAAAAATGAAGTCATTGAATTGTATGGTGTCTTATTTCTAAATCCATTTTAAATGACATCAGAGGGGGAACAGAAGTACCTTACCATCGTTGTTTGAAAAAATTATTCAATAATAAATTGGGCGTATATTTCTCTCTAATCTGCATATTTTGTTTGGTCAAACAATTACGCGGATTTCACCGTTACATTAAAAGTGGGAAAAAGACTATGGTTTACACTTAAGTCTCGTGTAGAGGTAAATTTGTGGTGGATTTTATTATCGTGTCAATTTAAACAAAAAATATCATTTTGTTACACAATAAAAAAAATCTAAAGTAATAATATTAGTATGCACGAAATAAAGTCCCCACTTTTCGTCCAGTTCTCTCAAAACATGCTTTCGGTAAACTTTCTGCAATCGTGTATACTTGATCAATATCTTTATTAATAAACCTCTGCACACTCGTAGCCTTGATGGCATTCTTGAAAACGCTATCAATAGATTCATAAAGTCTAACTCTGTAATTGGAAAATAAAAATAAAACACGAAAAATGTAGATCTCCCGGTACACCTCCTCCACCATCAGCACTGCACAGGTAAGCTCTTACTCGCGTCGGCCGAACAAACATCCCCATCTTAATTGCAGAGCTCGCGCTTGCATGGGCTCTTACACGTACGACGTTTTTGCCGTAGCCGAGGGAGATAGATATACACCGACGTGCTCCGCAAAAGCCCTCTGGGTTGTTTCACGGGCTCGCTCTTGTCATTCTCGTACCACCCACCTGATACTCGCGGCTCGAGTTTTCGCAAATATTTGCCAGGAGGTCGTTTCCTCCGCCGAAGCTCTTTGCTCAGCTTTACTTTTATTTTTTTTCTTCTTTTTACGAAAAAAAAAAAAAAAACTTTATCCACCGTAGAACTTTCAATTTAAATGCCTTTCTCTTTTTCAAGGATTTTGTTTTATTTTGCTTGGAGAAGATCCCAACAGATATTTCGTCGCCAACTTCAAAGTGTCGTGTAATTGTACATTACACGTTTCACAAGTTGGTGAGGAATTTGAGCAAGTTGTCGTTAAAAGTTAATCTTAGCATAAATATTTCACTGATTTGATTATTTTTTTGAAATCAGGGTAAACCATTTCGTATAAATGAATATAAGATATCGCAAAATAGTAAATTAACCAGTAAGTCTCTCCGACATAAATTTAGTGTAAAATTTTTTATTCTTGACGGTATACTACGCAGATACACTTGTAGCATTACTTACGCTCATAAAGGTTTAAATTACAATATCTTGAAAACAGCGCTACCAGTCTTTCTCAGATTTTAATGTCACGTGCTTTTTGTGATCATAAGAATAGTACTACTTTATTTTATCAAGCATTTACTAACTGAATTTTACCAAAGCGATGATAAAAATAATGTGATAAGTAGCGACAGTCCCACTGAAATTTCAATACGTTGTAAATAATACCAAAATCTTGTCATTTCGTTTTTTACAAAAACGTTTTAATTAAGTAAAATTTCTCAACAACCCCTTTATAGTGTTTCAGCCCTACTCTATAATTGAGAGCCATTAATGGTTCCGGAACCTAAAATATAATTCGAAAAAAATGTCAAATGACAAAATGTCATTCTATAGACGATGAAACACCAATGATAGAGCTACGACTGGCCATGAGACTGCAGTTTGTTTGCGCTTTTTTTGGCCAAATTCCTCGGCTGGTCTATTACGTATGCGTCAAAACACACGTCGCTCGCGTTATAAATAAAGCTAAGAAACGTGGGTATCCCACAAAAGGCTCTTCTTGTCGCACGCGCACATACAAGTAGGCGCTCCAAAATATAAACACGAAAATGCAAAAGAGAGGAAAAGAAATAAGGTACACCACGTGTATACTTATAGCATGCGAGGGAGCGATAAGACTCGGGTTTACCGAAAAAGAACCGAGGGCTCGCGACCGAATCACGTGGCATAAATTTACACTGGACAAAAGAGCTGATCATCGTCGTGCTGGCCGTCCGAAATCTCTTGTGCCCCAAAATGGGGTTTCTCTCGATTCGTTTTAACTTACGTGTGTGTATACGTGTACCATCATATAAGGCGTCTTTCTCATATCGGACGGAAAAAGTATCACAAGTATTGCTTTCGCGTGCGCGGGTGTGTAGTGTGTACACCCTATAACACACACAAATATATACATGTAAACGAGATCGACGAAGACGATGCCCCGGAATGGGAAGTCGAACGGCCTTGGCTGCTATCACACACACACACACACACACACACACACACACACACACACACACACATATATATATATATATATATATATATATATATATATATATATCGTAAACCTTATGCCGAGGAGGAGGAGGAACGCGCGGTGTACATGTATACCTACCTATATAAAATATATACCCATCTGCCATCGCATCGGCCCTCCACACGCTCTTTTTCTTTTCCTCTCTCGCTTTCTTTCT